ATCATGCAACAAACTGTGAGGAGCGAGAAGATGGGCATACGCTGTTTGACCGGTAAAAAGACCCTTGAAGGTTTAGGTTTAGCCGACAATGATTTATGTCTAATGTCTGGTGTCGCACAAACTCGAAGATCTACAGGCAAAAACCAACAAGTTGACAGAAGAGGTGAGGCAGCGAAAACGGGACATCAAGTGAATTCAGAGAAGACAGAGGTGATGAAGATACCCAACTAACGACAGCATCAACAACTAGAGCCAATCACCATTAACTGGAGTAACCTAAACGAAGTAGTCTCCTTCACCTACCTAGGCAACATCGTTTCAACTACAGGTGGCACAGACGAGGATGTCAAAACCAGGATCGAAAAAGCAAGACAGGCTTTCATTAACCTGAAACCAGTGTGGAGATATACTGCACTCAGCATAAAGAACAAGATGCAGATTTTCAACACGAACGTCAAGTCAGTGCTTCTATACGGTTCAGAAACTCGGCGCGTTACGAAAAGCCTACGCTCGTTGTTGAAGATCAGATGGCCAGAAAGAATAAGCGACAAGGAACTCTGGCCTGGTAGCGAACCAATCAAGAACCTATCGCTAAACAAATATGCACTGTAATAAAGTGGAGATGGATTGGGCATACACGGTCATTCCTGATTTCCATGTTCAGCTTGATGAAATTCAGTCATTAAATATTCTGCCATGCCACTTAACACGTTATTCAATTTGGATCATCTCTAATGTATTTTCATGATACTTTAAGCAATGATCACCAATCTTAGTGACAATATAACTTTGATTATAACCAAACATTTTGATTGTACATGAGCATTGTGATTGTTTTAGGATGAAAATAACACTACGAGTTTTCTGTGTCATGCACACGAATCAATATAGAAACTCGCACAGAAGTACGTCGGTTCAATTTGCTACACTTGACAGAAGCGTGTAAACAACGGATGGATTAAAAAGCTATTACTAAAGTAGATAAGGATGAGTGGGAGAAGGGATTTGAAAATGTTTAAACTTTAGAAGATGTCAAATAGTGAATGGGCCATTGCAACTGATTGTCAACCACGTCATCAAGGGTCCCCGACCAACGATTTCTATCCTTTTGAGTACTTCAGTCAGGTAGTCTGAACTTCTCTACACGGATGAGATTAAGAGACAGAGGCTTCATGAACTGATGCCACATCTTGATCTGAGCACCATGAGTCTTTTTCCATTTCGTCTAACATTGCACGTCGAGGCAGATGGTGGCTTGGCAAACACAATACATATTCAAGCCACCTTTATCTCTGAAGATATACAGCTTCATTGACTGACTTGCCTAGTGCCCTTCACCTAACCTCGCCATTTCTCATTCTATAGTTCGACCATACGTGATCATTGCTAAGGATATAAATGCTCTCCTTTCATAGCTGCTTTCAGCAACAACGACTCACAAACCAATAACAGAACAGAGCGAACTGCAGAGCAGTATACTCGTCCTTAAAAAAATAGATATTTCGGCAAATGATACAAGAAATGGTGCAAATTATTAGATGTCAAGTGAGCCTTCTGTACCCATCAGTAACCAACCCATTCAAACTGTTGCAACTCTCCAAGAAAGTGAAGTTGTCGACGTATTCCATCACTTCACTCTTTATCCTCAAGCCTGAAGTAGCTCCCAAGTTTGCTGTTCTCGAGCTCCAGTTAGGCGTCGGATAATTATGGACCCAAGGGTTCGCACACAATGTTAGTCAGTTAAACTAATAACAAGAAGACTTTTCTCCATTTTTACGAGCTGGGATGATCAGTGAAGTAGACCAGTTTGATGGGACTACCTCCGATTTCGAAGCACTATGTAGTACCTCTCTTACTCTACTCAGCAATTCACTAACCCCATCCTTGAAACCTTACGATGGGAAACCGTTAGGTCCTGCTGCTTCGCATCGTTTCAGAGTAGAAGCAGCTTTTCGAATTTCGAAGACCGACAACTACGCTCCATTCATGTTCGGGCTGGATGTTAGGCAACTGAAACGTTGTTGCGGCGCAGCTGAAGTGTGCTTCAAAGTCTTCTGTTCAATGTCCTAGCCATCTGTCCTGATAAGTTATCGGGATCCCATCCTCTTCGGTGACGGTTTCACTCATCATCTATTCTTGCATGTATCCTTAATAGGTCGAAATGATTATTGAGTATTATTTAATCCTGATGCCTTTTTCATCTCATACACTTACGTTTTTAAGTAATCACTTATGTGAAGCGTAGTACAGTCCAGTCATTTTCTGTATACTGATTATTTTAAAAGCAATAAAAGTATCAACTGGATATCCTGAACCTATGAGTTATTCGTTAACTGCACTGGTTATAATCTTGTTTCTTTTCAGGTATGAATTCTTGGGAATATGCTCAACAAACCATATGTATACCCTCCTTTCAGTTCCTATTCAATAACCAGACTACGCAGCAAATTGATGTAGTAACCATGGATTCACTTCTAGCATCTATCCTGGTAGACGTCCTGATAGGTTCTCTCAAACAGATGCGCCTGAATTCTGTCATCAGATGAACAACGTACTACCGAAGGTAGGTTGACGACACATTTCTAATGACATGAACCACGCAACTCAACTGTTCAACAAGCTCATCTCCAAATTAGAGTCAAGATGAAATTTGAGCATAATAACGAGTTCAATTCTTTGAACCTCAACGTGAGATGAGCAAACGATGGCATGATCGGAAAGACTATCCATAGAAAAGATACTTTAACTAACGCAGTTTATCTCCTGATAAACTAGAAGCGTCAGCTGACCAAGACAGTTTACACCAGAGCTAGAGAGAATGGCTATCCTATCCTCCTCTCATGATCTCCTCCACGTCACCCTCACCTCACACGCCCAACTCGACGCTTTCCATCTGGGTTCCACTCGAGTACCTAGCCTGGTGCGTGATGTCCCTAGTCGGCCTTCTTAGTGTATGCCCAATCCATCTCCACTTCCTTCTGCATAGTTCTCCAGCGATAGGTTGTTGGTTGGTTCGTTCCCAGAGTTCCTTGTCGCTTATTCTTTCTGGCCTACTGATCTTCAGTAACGAGCCAGTGTAGGCAGTTGTTGATGTCTGCAGTTTGTTGGAAATGCCTTTCGTAACCCGCCAAGTCTCTGAACCATACAGGAGCACTGACTTGACGTTGGTGTTGAAAATCCGGATGTTGTTCCACATGCTGAGTGCAGATGCCCACACCGGTTTCAGGCTAATGAATGCCTGTCTTGCTTTTCGGATCCCGGCTTTGACGTCCTCGTCTGTGCAACCGCCTGTAGTTGAAACAGTGCTGCCTAGGTAGGTAGGTGAAAGAGGCGACTTCTTTTAAGTTTCTCCCGTTGATGGTGATTGGAGCTTGTTGTTGCTGTCGTTGTTGGTTGGGTATCTTCACCACCCTTGTCTTGTCTATGTTCACTTGAAGTCCCGTCTTCGCTGCCCTGCCTCCTCTGTCAACTTGTTAGTTTTCGCCTGTAGATCTTCAAGTTTGTGTGACATTAGACATAAGTCATTGGCGAAATCCAAATCTTCTAGGTTCTTTTCCGCGGTCCAGAGTATCCCCCTTTTCTCGCCTGATGCTTCTAGTGCTCTTAAAATGATAAATACACAGACGATGACTAGACTACTACGCTCTGCAGAAGTAACTGCTCTGAAACATTTTCAACAGGATCCTTGCATACAAAAGGAAAATGTGATCATTCTCTCACTTCCCTTTGATCGTTTTCATGTTAACTAGATGGTATTCACTTTTACTCATCTACTGTTTTCCACTCACTGAGTCTATCTTACTCTAATGCATGTCACTTGCATGTATTATGTAGTCTTATTACTATTTTACTGGGTCGGAATGTCCGACCTCCATTCTGCTAGTCACAACCAAGCAAATTACCATGATTAACATTCAGGCAATATAGAGATATCCGCATAGGAGCCCATGTACCAATAGAGGTCGAACAATCCGATCCAACAAAACACTACAAGTATATCAATGAATGGTTGTGATTAATACCCGTTGAACAAGAAGTGGCTACCGTGGCATAGTGGATAACGTCTCGAAGTTTGAAGCGATGGGTACGAGCTTCAGTGAGAATAACGTCACGCACTGGGGTGCAGGTACATCCAGACGACGAGTCCCAAATAGGACGAAACTCGTTTCCTAGATTCTCCTGCTAGCCACAACCAAGCAAATTATCAAGTAATTTATTGCTCAGTACCATCTGTTTACTTCTTACCCTCTCTGTGTATAACAATCCTTGATATCCTACCACATAGTATATCAGTATATTAGCACTGATTTTGATGCACAATGTAAGACTGATGACTTTCCCAATACTTTGCACACTTTAAGTTTCCATATAGTTTTGTCTTACTACGCATTGCAATTCAAGACTGTATGCCACTGATGAATATTCGTGAAATATAATTACGCCACCTAATTCTGCGAATTTCGTCCTGGTTTCTTTTTCCAGGAGCATATTTGCTTATGTCAGTTGTTGTTAGACTGGTGGTGAAAGTCACACGAATACGATCTACCCTAGGTTTTGACTATATTAATCTGTATTACGCCACCTACTTATAGGATCTCTATAACCCACGTTTAATCACGTTTTCTCTATCAATATTCAAATTATCACTTTCTACGGATATACATAGTCTACGCTACCCATGACCCACTTTATGTGATAGGTCCTTTCCTGACTAAATATAACTACTTCAGTTGAACACTAAAACTGTAGCACCTACGACATAGAATAGAGGTCAATAACAACAGTTGCCCTTCGATAATTCACTAAACGCTAGACGTTCTTCTCCCTGTCAAGATGAAATTGCAGTTAAAAGTGCTAGACGTTTTTGGTTTTCCAATGCCGAAAGTTGCATTCCCGATCTTCATAAGACAGACGTTACCCACAATTCAGCACAAATATCCATACAAGGTTTAGCGATTACGAGTATGGGCACAACTAGTAAACCCAAATAAAATGGAACGAAACCGTCAAACTGATTTGTTTGTTTCCTGTTCACAATATGAAGTGACTAGATAAAACGTCATATAAACATCAAGAGAAAAACACCAAGAAACTGAATTGTATTCATCATCGGTAATTTTCTTTGAATCAATTGTATCAAAATGGTACTTCTCTGTCAAAAAGTACAACCAGTGTTCGGAAATTACACATCAATATTCAACAGTTTGAAGAAAGCGTGATCATTTGGTTCACGGCCAAGGAAATCTTTCAACATATCAACAGCATCTTTGGAACCACCTGGACGTAGAATTTTTTCCCTATAATCTTTCCCCACAGATCGACTTAGGCAACCGCCATCTACAGCATACCGGAAACGTGATTCAAACATATCAGCACTGAAAACTTCACTCCACTAGAAAAGAGAATATTAGTGGTTAGTCAGTAATTAAAAGCAACATGTTTAATTATCACCTAAGGTTGGATAATTTACAGAGTGATTGGTTACTGAGTAGGCACATCTACAATACATCTTAAGAACACTTTTAAGCTGAATTTTATACCAATCATAGTTAACTAGACTGTGATATTCTTCGAGAGAGATCTATGTGTTCCAAAGTGGACGAAAATCAATATTATCACAAGTTCATATGATGGCTAGACGTAGACATGCGATTCGTATAATAGGCAGTAGACCACATCTATTGTGAAAACTGTGGAATTACTGAAATGCGAAAATATTGGCTAGAAAGATGGGATTCGAATGAATAGTTCTAAGATTGAAAGATAAATAGACAATATGAACATAGGACCAGGCATTACTGCAGAACAGTTCAAGTTGCCACATATCATTTCAGTATATCAAGCAAGAATGCACCAAGGCAAAAGATGAAGAATTGTAGAAGAAAGTAGTCAAAATAGACCAAGAAGGAATGAGAGAATACTGAAATTTAGAATGACGATGAAGATAATTTATGGGATTACATTATACACCACTGAAACCTATTCTGAGCGATATCACCTAGAGTCTCCACTCACCGGGTTTTGTCACGTGGACTCCAACTAGAAATGCTACATTTTCGTACATTCCTCAGACCAACAGTCGAAGATATCATGCAAGAATACCATGTTTAGTCTGGACGTTTTACAAGCCTATATCCACTTCACTTAGTCACAACGAGACAGACAGTGACTAGGCATGTGTTACATACGAAAGTCCACAACCTCACTAACTGAATTTCTATGTTTGCCTAAACCTACTCACTTGATCTCTATTTTACTAACACGCTGACACCACGACATACGGCCTGTGATTTGAAGACAATAATGGTCGAACACTTGAAGCCTCTCTATGTCTTCTACCTTTGATGACTATGCTTCACAGGCATTAGGTCGAACAGAGTGAACTACTGCAGCACAGCACGCTCGATCTGCTACAGACAAACTGCCTCAGTAATTTTCAATATTTGTAACATCAAGGTTTCTTGTTTATGTTGTCTGCGGTACATTCTGTATGTAGATGCGCAGATTTCAAGAATATTACGACGACGCTTTATATGGCGTAATTCTGTGAAGGTTAAGCGAGCCTTTTTTTTATCCTTGCGGAAACTGAGTCTATTATCCACCACGGTTGGTCTGATTTCCCAGGTAAGTGAAGTGACAAATGCTCTCAACCATTTCACTCCCCAATTTCGAAACAGATACCAGAGAAGACAAATCCTGTAGCAACAATTTGTATTCGGGTAGTGAGAAACACATCCGAAACTCAAGGTGTCCAGAAGAATGCATATTGTCAGCGTATTTACTTCATAGGATTCGATAACATGAATACTCTAGATCTACTACGGAGTCTATTGTGATAAGGTTATTCCTTGTGAAGTAGAACAGCGAGACAGAGACCTCCATAAGTATGTCTATAGCAAAACTAAGTTAGAATGAAAAGAGTGGACATTCTAAATAGACATCACTCGCCATAAGGAACTTATCTGACACCTCCCCATAAGTGCGGATACACTGGTTTGTGTTTGAACACAGAGACCTCGGCACCCTTACAGTGACCTGGTGGCATGAGACCTCTCAACCAATGGAGTCGAAAGCCACTTTCAGGTTGAGAAATACAACTAGTGCCAGGTGTTGGTAAGTGTTCTTGTGTTTTAGAATCTGAACGTTACACCAAGGACCAGGTCTGAAACGCGCCTAGGTTCATTGCATTTGCTGTTTCCAAACTCCCCTTGGACGTTTGATAATTACAGAACTTAGGATATTAGACATGTTCATCTAGCTGACTTTCTTGTGGTTATCACAAAACGATTTCGCCTTCATTCTTCAAGACCGAGACAATCAGTGATTAAGACTAGCCAATAAGGATGATATATAATCCCTATACTTTATTGAATACTTCACTTAACCTGATCAATAATCCACGACCCCCTCCTTAAATACCCCGGTACAAGCCTATTTGCCCTATCTCGTTTAACGTTATAAACAGATTTCTCAACTTCTGCAAATGTTAGAGGCTCTATCTCATTCACGACTCGACTAAATAAAGACCAACAGAATATCGGACGGAGACAAGTTGAACTGTTCTATCAATCACACCAGTCGTCTATCTGCAAAAATGCATCGTAAAAATATCATTCTGCGCTATGGTCTCACTAACTATTGGTGTTTTTGCTCCAGTTTTCTCGATAAGTCGATATCGCTGTCAACCCCTACTGAGGATCGGTGACCTTTGCCATCCTTTTAGCTTTCGCTACTCAACACTGCTTGTTCTCACTGCGTAGACTTCTAGTCGGTCTATATTTGAGTTGCTTCCTTTCCTCATCAGGCTCAGAGACTGCAGAGTCAGTCACGTACAGGTATTATTCAAAAGAAGCTGCTGAGATCCACCCACTCCTTTCTAATAACTTTCTGAGAATCAGTTACAGTCTGCAACTATGTCTTCACAGCACACTGCCGATCCCATAAGGTTCCTTATGTGTGAATAATATTGCTCTATCCCGACGACTGCTTAACCAATTCCTCACTGAAAGCGCCCTAGGTAAACTCATCAACGAGCTGAGTACGGAAAATGTCAAGCAGCTGTAATTTCTCGATATTTATTTTAACGAGCAAGCTAACGCATGATCACTATACAAACATGAGCCTCGGAAGTGGCCAAACTTCCATGTCCTCAACGGATAACTGATGATAATGTGTTCTGTCTGTGTTTATCGTTCAGGTCTTTCGGTACTAAGTCGGACAATTATCTTTTTGTCTCAATTTCCTGCTGGTCAGAAAAGGGTGATTTTCTGATCACAGTTGTAGCAGATGGTTGCCGTTACACCCGTTCATTTGGTTAGGATTTCGAAATGCCTTAGCCTACCCACTTGTGTATCGAAATCATCCGCTGTAATAATCATATCTGAACCTCTAACTTTCTGTAGGAAGCTAGAGTTTTCGCTGGAATTCATAATTCGCTTCATCTGAGCTGAGGTCAGTGGGGTGGGTAAACCGAAACAACAAAGAGACAACTGAAAGTTTCACTTTTCTTTTCACTCCTCACTGTACTGTTCAGACGAACAACACACAACCTCATTGACGGTAATTACTTTCCATCTTATCACTAACTAACAGACCTCTCTGGCATGACAGAACCTTAAGGAACAAGCGCCCAACCAGTGTAGTTCATTGTGTTATGGAAGCCAAATCAAAACATCAAGATAGTAACTAACGGTCGGGTCCAAAAGTGAGAGCTAATAAGTTAATTCATTAGACCTTTCTCAAATAAGCAAACCTCAAGTTGAAGTTGGATATACGATTCTATAACCAATATTGAAGACAACACTTGTAAGCTGTCGATAATTTATTCACGTTGGAACTTTGCAAAAGCTCATGGATGAAATGCAAAAAACTTCAAAAACAATGAAATGAATGTCCCCAGGATCCTAACTAGACAATTTTTACTTTTCCATTCATCTCAGAATAACACTTAGTGAACTTATAGACTGCTGCTATATCCTGATCTTGGCACCTTTCGCTCTCTTCGAATTAGATACTACTTCAGCTAAGAGTCAAACTAGTTGTAGAGGATGACTTACCAAAAATGCCCTAGCTGATTCAGTTCAATCACACTAACAACTTCATTAACTGACTAGCCTCAACATCGTTGACTCTGTGACTGCAACAGGCCAGAAATGCTGCAAAAACGCAAATGAAAAAAACCTGTAACATTCTCATGTCTTCTATATTCATTTGTCATGTTTTATAGTGGTACAGTGGAGCAGGCAGGACTACTGTGCAATGTACTTGCCTACTGAGAGGCGACTGAATATTTTGCAATTACTTGAGATTTTGTAATTTGATATATTTCATATAAACTCCTCGTGTTGAGAGTGAAATAAGACGGAACTACGTTTTTTGTAGAACTAGGAAAAAGCCGCTACACTTCAAAAAAATAAGTAGCAGCAAACCTGATAAAAAAACTAATTAAATGAATTAAAGGTGTTAACTGATCAAATCGGATTTGAATACATCCAAAGATTCGTATCACTGAAACCCAGGATCTCAGAGTACCAGCTCGGCAACGCTTGGATAATACCAAACCTTAGGCAAAGAATGAAACTTCCTACGAGTTAGAGAAGAATATGTTCAACTCTTTTATCAGAAAAACTACTCATTATTCACAATTCCGACTATATATTGTATATTGTACCAAAAAGACGATAGAAAAGTTTCACTAAACAGATCAAGTCGAAAACATATTATTTAAGCCTGATAGCGTATGAGTCACTGAGTAACGCGTGAAGGAAGGTTAGAGAGACATATCCGGTATCACTTTTCGTCTAATCTCATAGACTTCATCAACATCAAGTTACGCTTGATTGTTACAAGAAACAAAATGGGCACCGAAGCAATTCAACTGCTAGTAAAAGGAAGATATGAAAGTAGTAGGAAGAATGCGATTTTTTGTTCATCTACTACTTATGTGTTCTGTAGGTCATAAACTCACCCATTGTACAAGACGGGTCAGGTTAATCTGTGAAGAAAGTCAATAAATTTCACCGAAGAAACAGTCATAGTGATATGATCAACTCACCATATAACCATAATAGCGTGCATCATATCCACCGGCTAAATGTCCAAATGATGCAGGCATAAAAGTGCCTGGTGTAGGTTCGATATCCAGCCATTTTTTACTTAAATTTATGAAGGTAGTCAAAGGATCATCCTGAAAGATAGAAAAAGCGTCAATCATGCAAAATATTCTTCATAGGAACTAGGTGGTCTGCTTAAACCTTAGGTTACCAAAAAACTTTCCACCGATTATATTCCCTTTCAGTTTGTTTTAATCTTTTAAATGTTTTCTGAACACATCATGTACTCTGGCACGTTTTTAAAGTGTTTTCGAACTTTTATTTCTTAAGCTAACAACAAAACAAAGGAAAAACGTTCGACTAGTTGGAAGTGGATTTGTAAATGCTCAAAAATACACCATATTACTATCCCCGGGATACCTGTATAAGATTGTGAATTTCTGTGCTGGTTGGTTGACTGACCCTGCCATTATCAAAATTACACTCGATGTTGTGTTAATTTCCAAATCGAGAACAGATGTTAGTGTAACACTAGCTACCCGTTTCATACAATACTGTTATTATTAACACTGTGCAGGTGTAATAATTTATCCTTTAAAAAATATCGAATGGAAAGTGAATTCGTTGAAATATTCCATGCTGAAAACTTCATACTGCATCATACATATTGTTTGGATAAAGCTATTATTATTATTATTATTATTATTATTATTATTATTATTATTATTATTATTATTATTATTATTATTATTATTATTATTGAAAGATGTAAGTGAAAAGACGTTTTAGAGAGGAGATTGAATGATTTAAGTTGAGAAGAGGTAGACTGCATACATACCTACATGTAAAACAAACGATTCAATTACAAAGTTAAAATGCAGAAAAATGTAAAGAGTACAAATACAGTTCAAGTTAGATGAACATTTTTTCAAATGATTTTACAAAATTGCACTATCCACACCTTGACATTTCTAATAGCTGACTAGTTTTTTAACTGTCCGAATTTAGGTGATCTGAACAATTAGGCTGTCTCGAACAAGCAGAACGGCCGTCCGGTCATACAGTCACTGACTGCCTGGTCAAATCTAAAGATAAGCCTATATGGTTTTAAACCACTCAAATTGTTCAGTATCATATTTCATAAAAAGTAGTTATAAATCATGCAGTAGTAGCCGTAGTTTAAAACAGACAGGAAAAGGTACAAATCGTGTTCAGTAAGTGATGCTTTAAAAACGTCAATGGTTCTTTCTAACATCAAACAGTTTCAACTACTTAAAACAATAAAATAACACATAGGTTACAATCACGCAATATCAGGATGCCTATTTCAACCGGTCTCACTTTTCTTTTCAATCAGTTTCAGGAAATGAGTGATCAGTGACATTAGTTGCTGAATTCTTGACTAAAATCATCGTTCTGATCAGTAAGTATTGACATAGTACATGATATTACTACATAGAGGTTCCAGTAGCCAAGCTTAATAATGAGCGCATCAAGATACAAAGCCGTAAGACAAAGAAATGGTATGATGATAAAAACTGCAGATAACCATAAAGCAAAAAATACCGGTATTACGAGAAATCACGAAATGTGACAATGGTTAAAACGAGAATAAGGCGCGGATGCGTGTAAACCATTTCACCTAGAGTTCCTAACCCTTAGTTTCCGTTGTCGCGCGAATGCTAATCTGAAGATTTACATTTGCCTATACGGTTCAGATTCGCAACCAGATGCCTAATGAACTGTTGTCATATTATAGCCTAGTGATTGAACAAGAGCATTTCAATCAATTAGCTACTCAGGCACAGATAAAGACATCAAAGCCACGATCAGAAAGACAGCAAGACAGGCAGACCTTTTTCATTAATCTGAAATAAACGGTGTAGAGATCTACTCCACTCAACTCAACTCAGCATAAAGTGTGAACAACATCCGGATTTTCAACACTAATGTCAATCAGTGCTTCTATGTGATGGTTCACAGACTTGGCGCGTTACGAAAAGCATTTCCAACAAACTACAGACATACATCATCAACAGCTTCCGCCTACGCTCACTCGATAGTGAAGATCAGATGGCGAGAATAATAAGAATAAGCAACAAAGAACTGGCTGGCTGGCAATGAACAAACCAACAACCTATCGTCCAACAAATATATGCAGAAGGAAGTGCAGATGGATTGGATTGGAAATAAACTGAGAAGACCGACTGGGGACATCAAGTGCCAAGCCCTCGAGTGAAACCCAAATGGGGAACGACGAGTTGCGCGTCTGAAGGTGATATGGAGATCGTGTGAGGAAGAACACAAGCTTATGGGCAGTTGTGGAGCCAGGTTAAAAAGAGAGAACAGTGCAATGAAGGTGTGCCACCGAAGCCCTATGTTCCACTCGGAACCGAAAGAATAAAATAATAATAATAATTGTCAGTTTAAGAGAGGTTTTCAATAATGGCATGCACATTAGTTAACTATGTCCAACGCGTTATCGAAAGGATAAAATAGGTTAATTTCTCTAATAGTGCCCATTCGATCATTGCGATTTCTACAACCTGGATCACAAGAGAAAATATACTTGACAATTAGCTCCTGTTATCTGTCCGATGAACAACTAATTTGCCATGAATTTGATACGAACAAAAGTGAGGTCTTCAAGTCCTAAGCTCGCGATGACAGAATACAATATAGCCTCGAAATGAGCTTATTGGTGGCATATCAATGCCACCTTCTGAACAGTCACTAGAGAAAATAATATAGTTTTTGCTGTAAAGGTGATGTGTAGTCACTCTGTCTACCACACTTTAGTTGTATGGACCAGTGGGTAGTCATTATTAATTTAACGAATGACTCTGTCAGTTAGCGATGCTTTTTCTACGCGTTTAATAAGTAGTCATAATTATGCAATGATAGCATCATATCCGAATTCATTCATTTGTTTACATTCAGTGTATCTCAAACTTAACTCAGTTGCATTTTTTTTATTTTAACACGAAAATGTCAACTATATTCATTTATTTAGTAACTTCATACTATCCCTGTGAGTATGCTGGGTATATAATGGCGAGTGACTGAATGGTCGAAATATAGTCTGATGCATTAAAAAACAGCAGTTCAATTAGGGATTTTACATACAATGGACTGTGGGAAATTTTTTTAAATAGAATATAAAGAAGTAGGATAAAACAAAGAGACAATAACAGACGCAAAACAAATCAACGTAAAATCTTGCACAGAAGTAAATCAATTCAACTTGGTATACTTTACAACAGTCCACAAAGAGGGAGTGAACAGAAGAAAAAGAAAGATATTTAAACCGGTCAACATCGATGATATTCACAGGATTGACATCTATATCTAATCCAGCTGTTCTTTAAAGTGTTCCGCCTAACAGTATAGCTGTTTGTTCTGGAAGATTCTCAGGTATTCAGTCTTTTCGACAATAGTTTCCCTGATTAGTGTTTCTATGCTAGTCTTTTTGATAAGCCTACATAACAGGTGAGTATTGCTCAGCACCATAGGATTTCAATCGCCACTGCTTGTGGTCAGTGGGAAAATTCTCAGAGTTTATATCTCAGCAGCTTTCTCCTTCAAACAAATTCATATCAACGAACCCACATATTTACCATCTTCGAAATAACAAACACACGCCAATCAAGGATAACAGGGAAGTATACTCAAATGTTTGGGCAATATTCACAAGACTTTGTGCAAACATCAATATAACCACCTTTTCTCAAACAAATGTTTCATAACTTGCAAGACTCATTTAATCATGCGTCGAACCTAAAGCTGAAGTTGATAACCAGAAAACGTATATAGTAGTGTCAAGGTAGGATACTACCCTTCTAAATCCTACTTCAGAGCAAAACACTGGACATTTAAGTGCATCCTGATAAATACTTCAGTGTGGTGAATACAAAGAATTCTGTTTCGTTTCTGCATATCGCAAGGTGAAAACTATTTAATGAAGTCTCATAGTAACTGTCTCAGCACCAACCACTCACTAAAAACAATGGTAATTTGTTTAATCCTCTACAGGATATAATCCAGCAAAACTCATGACCCTCCGAATTTGAAAGGCACAAAAATAGGAATAGAATACTTAATCCAAGTTTTGTTCATGTATGTGATCCCATATGCTATGAGATGTTTACGAAAATATTATCAGTCATTGGTAATTGAAAATACAGCTCTAGAGTCTTCTAAGACTAATAATTAACTTATAAATGTCTATTAAACAGAAATAGGTTTAACTCGTAACAATAACATGGAAATATGACGTTTCGACCCAGTAGAATATCATCATAGACTTCATCTTCATACAGGATAAAATTAACAAAAGCGTACAAATCCAGTAATCTTTACACAAAATACAGAAGCTTACTTTCCACTTTGTAGTATGAATGGCTTGATCAAATGAAGCAAGAAGAATTTGTCTAGAATAGAAGAGTCCAGCATTGGCTACACGTGACTTAATCAAGCTATTCAATAAGTCCTTTGGCATTGGATCATCATTAGTACCTAATAGTGCTTTCAATCCATCAACATTCCATACCCAATTTTCTAACATCTGTGATGGACACTCGACAAAATCAGTTTCTACTGAAGTACCACTGTAATAAAGAATAAAAGTGAAATTATTTTATTGATCAAAAAGTATGCATGAGTACTAATCATAATATATATGCATAAACTATAGGTTTTATATTAAGAGCTTGGCCTTACTAATTTACGAGCCATATACAACTACTAGTATAGGGAAACTTTGTAGTTCAAATATGTGGAGGTGATACCAGTAAGACTCCGGCAGCTTCATGCCTGATTAAATATCACTATAATTTCTCAACAAAAGCTTGATCTTCATGTAGTGAATATGAACATCATCAGTGAGTAGTTTCCTAGTGAGTTTGGAACGAGTTTTTAAGATGCCAGCTAACTTAATAATTCAATCATAAAGTCGTGAAAAGAAGGCCATATAGTTGAACCGAGAATTCAGTCGACTGTGCGAATCTCTTATGAGTTTTGAGAGAAGAATTCAGACTTTCGATAGTGGTTTCAATGATTTTAGTATGATGATGATGTACTACTTTCATAAGCATGGAATACGCTGAGAAAACGAATAGTTTTCACCATATGTACTTTGGTAATTTAGAACCGCAGTTTTTAACTAGTATGTCATGAAATTAAGCAGTGCTATATATTTAGTATCAGTAATATCCATAAAACCGAAATAACTGGTTATCCAGTACATGAATGCATCTTAAGATTTGGATTAGTTATTATTTTACAAAGGTGAAAAATAAAACTTTTGTGGTGAAGTCGTTTACTTAAGTATTCGATACAGTGAATTTTAATGCCAAGAGGACATGTATTAATATCCAAACTGGGATCTTTCCGACACTAATGTCATGGTGCAAGCCCTAATTTGGAATAACTCTGATTCTTCATCATATAGAATGAGAATAAAGCAGAAATGTGGCACCTTCTAAATAGTTTATAAGGTTTAGTAGTTCTGCGAATGCATTCCTTCTTTCCAGGATGCAAGATGGCAAAAACATCACTGATAAAAATTCTCACTCAGTAACACAAAAGAGAGTGGTGGTTGAGTATGCCGATCGTTTCACTCATATACAAAACTGTACTCACTAAACGACTAAAGAGTGGAAGAAATTCGTACATAGACATCATATATATGGTTAGCACTCATGAACATGTACCACCCATCACACTAAAGTGATATATAGCTAGCAATTTATGTACAGTTTTCCAGTATAAAGACGAAAGTTTACTTGGTGTTTTATTGTTACTGATTGGCGCTGATATGGTGTTTGACAATTGTTAGGATAGACATATAGAACGACCAACTTCATTTCAATAGCTACATCGTATTATTTTACAGGCAACCTACACATCACAAGTAGCCTTGAGAACCATTTGATTTTTTACTAAATCATTTCTTTAACATTTAACTCTACTGGCTGTATTGTTCTCTGAGCTGGGTTTTTTAGTCATGGAGCTTTCATCGTCTTTCTAGACGACATCGTCAGCACTAACTTCAATACGAATTCGCATTGTTTATGATATAAGGATGAAGTGAACTGTCAATATCTCTCTGTGAGTGATTGGTTGTTTCCTTTGGTTGCTGCGTCATTGACTACATATATTTCCTTGTTGGCTGTTCTTCTGCTTGATCTCTGACTCTCCTGTTGTTTATTTTTCTTATTGGTTGATAGATTGGGTCTATGCCTATACATCTATTGATTTCAGACTGACCTGAATGCCAAGCTTCGAGGAACTCTGATATTCTTTGTGTTTCCTCTCTCCGTCCAAAATCTCTACATTGAATTTATGTCCATAGTTATCCACGTGCATTGAAATGAGTGACAAAATGTTGTGACGTTTAATAGCCAATTGGTATTCATGTTAACGAACAACATTTCGTCACTCATTTCAATGCACGTGGATAATTATCGACATGAATTTAATTCATACTCAAGTTAGTTATAATGATTTCGTCTAGAAAGACGATGAAAGCTCCACGATTAAACAACCCAGCTCAGAGAATATAATACAACCAAGACCATCCACCTGAGCCATAAATATTCTCCACCATTGAGCTCTATGTTCCGACTTCTCGGGTTAAAATTAATAGTGAGTAAATAGCAGTTTAACGAACCAAAAGCAAGTAAGCGATCTTGAAGTTAAGTATACAACTCGAAGTAAGAGTGATGAATCAGTGCAAACACACTCGCAATAAAATGATAAACAATGATCACTTGTTATTAAATTCTGCCCATCCCCAGCTAGTTAAAAATGATCACTAAAGGTGTAAAGACAAACACTGTAACTCGACTGAATACAAGTTTATATTCTAGGCTTACAACCATACTTGTTATTTGAAAGCTTACAACGTTACCTGGTTGTCAAAGTCACAGTAGGTGAAGTGGGACTTGAAGTCAGGACATGTTGCTTGAAAGTTGAGTGCTTAAAACAATCGATAACAAAGAACACCGTCTGTAGAAGTTATGCTGTCCTTATTTTATAAAAGATATTGGTTGCAAAGTTGATGGACTGGTAGCAGTATTTACTATTAAGTGTTCGTATAAACTAACTTTGTGTATACTATGAACTTTCCACTGACTAGTTCGACCGCTTAAATACTCCAATGAAGAAAAACCGGTGCAGTATAGAAACTGGTTTTTATTTACGATTTGTAATGGATAACAACAGTTAAAAAAAGCTTAGCAAAGAAATATTTGACAACCGCATTCATATTTACAACTGATGTTATCTGAGTCGGAGGTGAATGCGAATCAATGGGCTTAACTGTATAAGATCACTGACTGTATGACTTTGCAACAAACAGATTCATTGCAAGATAAAAGTGTGAATATAATTCAACTTGAATTATTATACTCCGTCTTTTTAAACTTTGACCGTACTTACTCGACGATTTATATGCGATAATTACATCATTAATTAATGACTTACCTAAACAAAGCAGTTTCTGTATACGAACAAATATGATGCATTAAATGGCCAAATTCATGAAAAAATGTCTCCACTTCATCATGTAATAGAAAACCTTCACCGGTTTCTTTGTCTGGTGCAGTAAAATTAGCTACCATTGCTGCGATAGCTACTTGACGCTCACAGGCTAGCTGATGACTACCATCACCATTACAACAGGAATCTACCGGTCTACAACAACCCGGTTGTAAATCGAATACAGCAGCGTGTCCATATTTACCTTCGCGTGGATGTAAATCAAGATAGAAGTAGCCTAAAAGAATGTTCGTTTCAGCATCAGTTACTGAGTACTACAAAAGAAAATAACACATAGTTGGACAGATAAAACAGTATGGAAAACAAAATTATTTTGAAACCGAGGATCAATATGATATGAAAACTTTCAGTTTAATAATGGATTAATATTAGGACAGTTTACATTAGGGATCGAAATCAGTTAAAGCGAAGTGAGAAATCGGCTGAGATCTTTTCAGCAAAGTACGGAAAGAAGTCACCTTTATCGGTTGTAAGGCACACAGTTGACGATTGATTAAATGGTCAAGTAATCTCAGAATACTCAACATCATAGATGTGACCCATAGAACGAGTACAGAGATCTATATGCAGTTGTTGAGTACCAGAGCAACAAGAACCCATTGCAAATGGAAATTTCGAGTATAAGTGTTATGTACTATCTTACCGATTCCCCACAGTGATAAAAAGAAGCCCAAGGATTGTGCGAAGGTTCCAGCAATAAGCAATGAGCTATACTTATTGCGTGACAACCTTGAAACTATCTGGTTATTTAAACTTTGTTAGGTGCAGCAGAGTCTGAACTCAAGGTCAAATGATCAACAGCCAATCTTCTAAACCTATGAGTCAAAGATTTACTCAAACTTAATCTTGGGGTTAAATTATAGTATTCCGTCAGCAGGAAGATTTGGACCTATGTTTTGTGTTGGCTGGAAGTCACAAGTAAGGCATCTCTGTAATGTTGAAGAAATTCCATGTTCTTAGGAATTTAGAACTGTGCTATTTGGAGTTGAAGTCAAACAGTTACTTTACTAATAAGCAATTCACCTTGCAAAACCACGATAGCGACAGAAGGATTGCTGATAAGAAATCAACTTAAACAGGGTTGATTACTGAGATGCGACTTTATGAAGCGATTTTAGCCAGATTTTAGACAAGAATTTAACAACATAACACTCCATGTACACCTTTATCAGGAATAGTGTATATGAACCTAGGAATGGTTTAAGTTATATACCAGTCTTTAAAATTAGGAAGTCTGTCACTAATTTTGCTTTATCCGACCGGGAGAAGTACTATGCAGCAGTGAATATCAACTTTTACTGCATGATGTTATTGTAGGTCCGACGATATTCTCAAATTGTTCCAACTGAAATACACGTGAATAAAATATAAAAGACTAAACAGTAATCTTCAATCATCATTCAGTATGAATACAACTCTGCCAAACTACGGTTATCTCAGCTATTCAAAATGATAATCGAAATGATGTTCCCCCTCTCTGATTCAGATTTGGATTTGGATGAGAGGTCTTGACTAGGCAGCCAGTGTGAGTACGATCAAAAAGTAATAACGTGTCATGAATTCCCATGGTAGTCGGGCAAAACCCTTATTGATTGAAGTGAAATAAAAATGTAGTCAGTAGTAAGAGTTTGTAACTGAGTTGGTAGAGCGCAGGACCGGTAACCAGTGGTCGCTGGTTCGAATCCTGCAGCGGTTCAAATTTTTATTTCACCTTTAATCATCACCCACGATCAAATAGTTTTTCAAATAAATCTCTACAGTATTTGACTACAACCATGTATAAAACAAAGTATGTGCTTAAAAAGGTTGTTATTAGAAGGCGATAAACTGAAACAAAACTAACCATTTCCACTTCTTCATGCCACACCTCTGGATTTGGAACACGTTCAAATTTCAAGTCCAATAATTGTTGATATAATCGTAAGACACCCGATTTTACAGTGGTTAACGGGAAATATTTCCTTAAAACCTCTTCGTCTACGGAGTAATCTTTCTCTTTAACCATATTCATATAGTAACGTGTATCCCATGGATCAATACGATTATTAAAGGTGTATCCTAAACGTTCACACTAGAGACGGGAAACAAACAAGAATAATAAAAGACCTATAATGTAGAATGCATACATGCCAAAATAGAACGTAATTATAGTCACAATATAACACAATATAAGGGACAATAATTTCACTCAGAGACACACCGTCAACAACGTCTTTTGCAATATACAAATTACTAAACTATAAACTATTTGTATTTCACTACTGATAAAGAAAGTGAGCAGTTGTTGGGAAAGTAACAAAAAACATGAAGTAGGCAAACAAAAATAGTAGTTTACTATCGTACAAAACCCACCTCTTCCTTCTTTAATTCCAATATGCGTGCAGTCTCTTTCTGTTGAGCTTTCTCCAGCTTTGAACCAACATTACTCAAAAATTTGTCTACATTTGCAGCCTTTTTAGCCATCCTTAAGTCAAGCATAAAATCTGCATGTGTAGCAAAGCCTAGAATTGATGCACGCTATTAATAAAGAAATAATTATGAAGAAAAAATAACTGAATAGCAAACAAAACAGTTACGACTGGTCAAAATAAGGAAGAATAACACTTTACATATCAATAACAATAAACTGTAAAGTGAGTATGAAAAGTAATCAGAAACTTTCAGTTGATTTTATTCAACTTAGAAACCGATTTACTTATATGCAGCTCACAGTGAAAATTACCAGTCCGATATAGGTTCCTGCACCAAGCTGTGGCTCATTGGTTAAGACAATTAGCTTTCGCTTAGTGGGTCGCAGGCTCGAACCCCATTCTACCTACCAAAGTTTAGGCAAACGGTCAGTATCATTCCAGCCCTTACGCAATAGATGTGCTTATTGCCTGCTTGCTACTATGCTGAAAAAATACTTATGATGCAATCCAGTTCCCCAGGTCGAAATATGTGGGAAAGGAAGGGAACTCTAGACACGACTTGAAAAGGGGACTCTTAAGTTAATGAGATCTACCTCATTATGAAACGTACAAAAATATGAATCCAGATGAATTATGTGAATAGTTTCAAGTTATATTTTTTACCCTCACTAAATAATAGAAAAATTATCAAGGGTGTGAACGTTTAGACTGAATAAAACGAGAGCAAAATATCTATACTCTTCTGCAACTTTGAGTAACAATTTTTTTCAAGGCGATTAACAGGTATACGGAGAATATAACCCGAAAATTATTCATTTCATTCAGTACCGTACTTCCAGAGTCCAGCGCCCCACCCTTGGCGGCGCAACTAGATAGAAATAATGCTTAAAATAAAAATAACAAGTACAAACAACTTGTTCCAACGCCTGATAACTGTCAAAACTGTAGGTGGGTGAGAGTAACCTTTTAGATCGATGCACTGTAAACATGACGACTAACAATCTGAAGCCGCAGGTGAAGCATAAGTGAGTGAATATCAAATGTGTTCTACACCAACCTTAAGACTTTTTTGGCTGCTTTATTCCAGCGAATGCAGTTCTTTGTGTAGGTAACGTGTTTGTCACACCACCACATCACTCCACTACCAAATTATATGAAGATAGAAACCAGTCACATAGCTGCATCCTATAATCTTGAAACCCAAAGCATATACTGAAAATAATTCAGTTTATTCAGAGCAATCAGATGATCATAAATATTGAATAGGAATATTCGCAAACGATATCACGATGCGATATAATATGTTAATAGTAGTATACACTGGGACCTTAAAGTACGAAGACTGATATCACGTTGTTTGTCATAAGACCGACTGTGTTTAGTATAATTAAGTGCTGTAAGATCCCGAAAATTTTATTTACTACAAAGCACGAACAATCACCATAAGGAGAAAAAAGACAGTGGTAATACCATTGAACATTTAGGTTGAAATTATACTCCTGAAGTGAGTCAATATAATAAAAAGCTATGAACAAAGAAGGATAAGATGATGCAATTTTTATTCCCTCACTACCATACAGTAAGAACTGATGTCAATCTACTCAGTTACCTGAAGAGTGCATGGTATACAGAGCCACGTGTAGATAAAGGATAATGTATTAAGCTTATTACTATTTATAGACATACTTGTTATTCTCCGTTGTTTTGTTGATCGAATTGTTCGACATCTATTGGCATATGGGCTCCTATACGGATGCCTCGACATTGCCTGAATGTTAATTATAATAATTTGGTTGGTTGTGGCTAGCAGAAGAATCCAGGACACACGTTTCGTCCTACTTGAGACTCGTCAGCTGGATGTACCTGCACCCAGCGATGTTATTTCCACTGGGACTCGGATCTCGTATCCATCGCTTCAAACGCCAAGGCGTTATCCACTATGCCAGTTGAAACAAGAGTACCAGATTCAGTTTCACGAAACAATGATGGTTGAATATTAAGCCTACTGTCGAAATGATTAGTGCTTATCAGATTCAAAACGACTCTTTATCAATTTCAGCTAAGAAAAAATGGGAAAACACAATAGACTCTTACATGAAGAAGACTACAGAAGTGTTACGGTGCAGCAACATTTATAATGAGACCCGAAAAAAAGATTTTCCCCACTATTGAGACCACAAATTCACCCAGTATGGTCTATCTATCTACATGCATCAGGTAAAACAACTTGTAGAAGAAACTTTCTTGAACAGATGAACGAAAACATCTTATTAGTCTAGTGGAGATGTAGGTATTGAATTTTCAGCCGATAGATGACAGGATCAAACCTGTGCCAACTAAAAAGGTCTACGCAGCCAGGTAGTATGATTATTCGTCACACAACAGGTGCATCTCATAACCTACCACATGAATATATACATATAGTTGCTAAGTTCATGTTCGATTCGACCTAATTTAAGTAGTAGTTCATATTCTAAATTTGTTACTGAATAAATTACAGCATGGTACAGAATAAGTATGGTTACCTGGTTTAGGCAACCGATACGAACTTGAGCCATACTCAACAAAATGAAATTCTGATAGGCTTTAGCCCTTAAGAAACATATCTATTTAGTATGTCATCAAACATTTTCCTCACAATCAAAATCCATATAACAATGTATATGCATCATTTTGTTATGATAATGGTGAAAAAAAGAGGAGCTTACTTCTTTGCGAAGTTCCATTAAACGCTTCAAAATAGGCTTATTCTCCTTAACACATCTACAATAATGAAGAGGAAAAAATGAAAAGGTATAAATTAAAATCCCGTAACAATAAAGTACATGCTAATGTCCCAACTTTATTTATAATTAATAATTCACTTGGAAGTTAATAATACTTGGATAGAAAGGTATTAAGTGTTTCAAATTTACCAAAATCGTCTTCATATACAATGTATATGAATACGCATTATCTTCAAGTGGAAAAATAATACATTACTCACTAATATAGAAGTAAAACATGGAAACTGTGGTAAACTACAATTCCAATTTATTCTATTTATCAGAAATGCTACATAGTGGAACAGTATCATTTACTGGATAACATTCTCTATATTCATATCACAGGATATGTATGAAATTAACAATATCACATCATCAATGATAGATAAGTTAAAGTAGTTTGTCAATCGTTCAACTAGACTTGAAGCTCAAAAGAAGTAAAAAGGCGCCCAGAGAAAGGTCTTAACTTCATTGTAGAGGATAATGAACTAAAATCAGAAGATGATATTCCCAAAATATAAACAGCATTAAGTACAATAGATAAGACAATTGCAGATAAGGTAAAACTATACTGAAATAATCACAAAAGATGAAACATAATATACCAAAACCAGAAAGAAAATAAGCTCTCAGGAACCTTCAAAATGTTAACATAGTAACTGCCAAATGCGACTAAGGTAACTCAACAGTTGTAACGAATAAAGCTGACTACATCTGCAAATCGAATGAGCACATAGAAACAGGAGTATAAGAGAAAACTAAGAAACCAATGGATAATATTATGAATAAAGTTAAGAAATTTACAGGGGATCTGATACGTCAAATGAAACCGTTTCCAGATGAGTCAAAATAGTTTGATTTAATGCCCAAAACTAACAATCCTTGTAGAATGTAGAATGGTACTATTAAAATTCATAAGCCAGACTATTGAATCAGGCCTCCATCCATCCAAATCAAAATAGGACCAGGCATTACTGAGTAACGGTCCGAGTTCCCACAGCTCATATCAGTACATCAAGTAAAAAGGCAGTGAAGTGGAACATGAAGAAAAGGTTCAATAAGAGATCACTCAAAACCCCGACTTACTAATTCTTATGACTTAAAGCATAGATTAGATGATATACGAATCATTACCAGTGAAAAAACGGTTAGTATTGACACAATTAGCCTGTACACGGATATGCCGATCAATATGGCTCTAGAGGCAGTTAGAAATGGGCTTAAGAATGACAGTGAACTAAGGTGCAGATCGAGGAATTTATGCTAGGAGTACGATTGTGTCTGACATCTACAGTTTTTAGGGGCACGAGATAAAATATACAGACAAACTGAAGGGGTTGGCTAAAGAATCGATTTCAGCTGAAGACTTGTGTCACATCTTATGTGAAACTCAACGATGAAGATCTGTGCACAATGTTACGTTACAACTGAAGAGTTATTCAGCATTTACTGGTTTCTAATGTGCAATACTGTGGAATACGATTGCAGAAATGTTCATAAGAAGCCGAAAACACATAAAGCTTTTTTCTACCATTTCTTTTGTTTCGAAATTTCAAGGAAAACACATGAAACGTGTAAATATGAAATTGGTTGAAGAGACAAAAATCAATAGGATATTCATATCTAGAAAGTTTTGGAAATAGCCAAGGCCATCGTAAATATATACAAACTCTTATATGATGCATATATTTTAGACGTTGCAACACACCTTATCACTTTTTCTATTTTATTGAGAAACTGAGCGACCATCAAGGGTTGGAGTCTGAAGGTTCAAGCATCCATACATAGATATATTCAATTCAGGTTAAATCGAATAGTCACTACAAGGATATATCAATATGATAGTACAATGATTATCCTACAGACACCAATTCATAATGAAAACTAGCTTCAACTTATTCAACTATCAACAGTTTAAGAGAACGAAGTTCACAAATTAATGCAAACAGAAACACAAATCACAAATTTTTGTCAGCAGTGTCAAAAGATATCACTGGTCAGTATACTAGGTCATGCAAACAGTAACGTGTATTAAACAGTCTACTAATATGTACCTACTTGACTCTATCACACTGAAAGAGTATTTACATATATTAACGAATATTACGTAAGAAGGTGGCCAAGTGAGAAACCTTCTCTTCTTTACACACAAACACTTATCAAACGAAATGCATAACACTACTTTCGGGTTGGTTAAATATGGTTACATCAAACCACCTGCACAATAATTTACGTGTTTTCTAACCCAACTGATGATAATAAACTGTACACGATTATGTAATATAAACAATGTTCACATTTCAAGGCTTTATGAAATAAATATCAACCAAAATATAAATGAATCGATACAGTGTGAAGACTAAGGCTGAAACATCAACACATACTTATGAAATTTTATGTAGGAGAACGAGATAAATTAAGTAATGAAGAACACCTTCACTATAAGGCATTTTTGATTACTTAGTTATTTGTGAAATGAGTAATTATTTCTCGAAATGTATACAACAATCACCTATTTCATAAAGGAATAACTTAGTCGATATAAAAGTGAGATAACTTTGTATTTTGGATTATATGCAAGTATATTTGTAAGATGGACTGTTTTAATATATCTAATAATGTGCACCGCGATGCTGAGCTTCTTAGCTTGGTTGCCACATTGCAAATATGATCGATAGAATTCGATCTGCACTCAGGACTAGACAACATGAAATTGGTTGCACTCCCGTGACCAATCAATACATGTAAGCCAGTCCTACAGGAGGTCAGTCGCGGCCCGAATAGCTCAGCGGTAAAGCCGCTGACTACAACACTGGGTGACGCATGTTCGAATCTCAGGCGGGACATCAGTTCCGTCGAGGTTGCAGATACGCCTTGCTGACGAGTGCCAAAAAGCTCGAAACCTGGGTCCAGGGCTTCCTGCCGATTGCCTCCAACCAACTAAGAAGTATGAAGATAGTTGTATTGAGTTAGCATCTGTTGGTTCATCACAACTCCACGGGGTGGAGTTCAAGAGATCACGTGACTCAGTGGCATGAGACGTTATCACATAGGGCTCAGAATCGAAACCAGTGGCGATCACGTTGTAGCTTCCTTTTATCTCCTTATGCTGAAAAGTAATGAATGCTTTGTTTTGAATGCATACTAATGGGTTACCCTTCTAATCATTCTATCCTTACTGTGTTTTTCTTTCTTATTTATCTACTTCCCATCGCTTTATGTCTTGTTATGTTATTTTGTGTGTTGCAATTCTCGGTCCTCTTGATGCACCATTTTTGTGTTCTAATAGTAATAATGACCACCATAGTAATAACGATGATATTGACAAGAAGAGGAGGAAAAAGAGGAAGGAGAAGGATAATAATAACAGTAACCGTAATAGTATAGTAGTAGTGGTATAATATGTTATAGTATATTTGCGGTACTTTCCATCAAACTATGACAGGAAATCAGAAATGACAGGGGTCAATCAGTTCACTTACTACCATCAATTGGCAGTCTTGTAGAAAGATGATGAAGGAAAGACTTAGTGGTAACATATTTACTACAAGAGTTCACTACACAAGTTTAAATCGTCTTTCAAAAAGCAACGAAACCGCCTGAAGATAACGACTGAGTCGAACAAGTCGAAAAAAAGATACAGAAAGGCTGAACTATCACCTTACAAATTCATGTGAAAACAATACATTCGATCGAGGTAAATTAAAGCGGAATTGTTTACCTACTTTAAGTAAACACATTTGAAAACTATGATTTCTCTGAAAAATATTCAGAGCTCCACAACAAACTAAATTCTTTACTGATTATGAATAATATTCTTTTGACAGAATCCGACAACACCAGTATATGACTCTCTCCACTTTCTTGTCACCTACCTTGAATTGAAAGCATTTTCCAGTTTCCTCCTAGTTTCTGGATTGGAGGCTTTTTGCATGGCAGGGAAATAATGTGGGTATTTCAACGATACTTCACGTTTGCCAGAGGGCAGCTAACCAAAATGTGTGAAAAAAATACATAAAATAATGGTAGTAACATATCGATATAACTACACTTTAAGATGATAAATCTGTATTCATTGTAAGTTACTTTCCTTGTCTTTATTACGACGCATACATGCTTGAATGTTACTAACTCAACCAATCGACCCACTGACTCGTCAACTCATAATGCAAAATCCCTACAAAATTTAAGCGATGACGGCAGCATAATAAACCCCACTACGACGATAAAGAGCATGTAGCTTACGACATGTGGTTGTGGCGAGTAGTAGTGAATGAGAATCTGCAGTTTGAAGGTCATTAGCAATCAGTGTATATTTCAAAACGAATACTTACACGAGGTAGTAGAGGCGCATTCAACACGAAATAGGTCTTCTATTCGTCTAAACCATGACTCGAATGTAAAACAATTTTCTGAATTTTAGTGAAGTTTAACAATAGAGCTGCGAGGAGAATCTAAACTCTTCTGTTATGGGAGCGCTGTAAACTGAATTGATAATTTTGCAGTCGGCGTTTCGGCATCACTGAATTTCACTTACATTCGAGTCATGGTTTAGACAAATAGAAGACCTATTCCGTGTTGAATATGCCTCCACTGATTCTGCTACAAAAGTCTACATTTTATGAAAAAAATTGGAGTCAAATAAGCATTCAGAGTACAAGAATCTTATCTTCCCAAAGCATCTCAAAGACGAGTTTTGACGACAGTATTGGAATTTCGAATAATATTTCTGATAAACAACCAATATTATTTCATATTCGTTTTTAACTCAAGCAGGCTGTAAAAAATAACAGCCGAGTCAACTTCCAATCGATAACATGTTGGACGCCTTTTCACTACCATCTAGTCAACCCACAGCCAAATACGTGCCACACTCGATATACGAAGAAATCTACAAGGTTGGAGGAACCGATCAATGGAATACAAGTCAACCCTCTTCATACATTATAGGACGCACCAGAGGCAGATCCATGGTCAGTAAGAATGAGAGTAACAACCAATCAATTACGAATGTCGTTCACGTGCCTATCTACGTTTGCATCCATTGACATTCCGATTACGCTGTATACACTTCAAAGGCCTGGTAGATTTTCAACATATTTTGATAAGTACAACATACTTGTGTATTGTGTGGACCAGCGGTCTACCTTGGTCTTCTCTCTGAGCCAACTGGTGTAACGTCTTCAGCGGCTGTGGGATCAACCTGAACATAGTAACTCGAAGAATAACAGTAGCTGGGGCCAGCATTCGGCATTCCCATCAGTCCACCAATCGTAGAACTCAACAAAAAATCCAAACACAGGTTAAGACGAGGATAACCCACCTAACCATTAACTTAGAGATACGAAAGTAAAAAAGCGAATTGGGAAGGACGTGACAATAAAGGAGGTTGAGTCAGAAGATAACAAGTAAACTTAATGTTGAATGTTGAGAATTTTGAAATTCATGAACATTGAGTACGCCTATATCGTTATGACTGATGTGTAGTTAAATCACCTGTGATTTCCAATCAGTGACTGGTTACATCCAGAGGAGCAGATGGAAGACATTGCAGTGTTGCTGGAATTATCAAAGTTGTTTGTGCTTGCTGAATACACCACGAAAAATTAGTGTTTTTGAATTAAAGTAGCTTGAAGGAAGCTCGTTTGAGCCTGTCATACGATGTGCTTTGCTAACTCAGTATTTTGGAGGTCTGTATCGATTTAAAGAATCAGTTACAGGAAGCTGTAAGGCAAAATTGAATGTACGGTTTTCAGGGATGAACATCCAGTCTAATATGCCTAAAGTAAGAAGCCCGGATAAATGGAATGATGGTCGGTAAGGAAAAAACTGACATATGATTAACGTAAAACTTCTCTCCGCAAAACCAGCTATATTGTTTTCCTCATGGCCGTAGCTGTTGACTATTTAACTTATTTTCTGCACGATAGGATTATAACCAACAATTATCCTAGCCAGACACAGTGCTCAGTAACGAAATGCTTCGAGATGAGATTTCCTGAAGTCCTAATGAGGTAGTTGACTGGTGGGGCGAACAAAGTTGTACGCGAGGTTAGATATGCGACGATGGCAATGATTGAAGGTAACACTATATCGCGAATCGGTAGAAGTAAGGGCACGTGGACCATTTGATTCCAACCCAATGGTTGAATCGCGACGCGCTCACGGCAAAACTTGAAGGTGCTCGGTTCGATCCCTGGTGGGGTGGCCATGGGTGCGCACTTGATGAGCTTTACAGTAAGACGAAACAGCTATCTAGCGCTTCACGTTTTGCGGTGGTTCTCCAATTGATGTCAGTCTATGATGAATGCCACCTTAAAGAGTCACAATGTTATACCATGGTTGTCGCTGTCGGTCGGGATTTAGACCCTGGCCTAACATACATGCAACATGATTAAGCTGCACTAGTTTATGTAGTCCAATAGCTGCATGAACTGATCTGCCTTTATCACCTAGCACCACATGTCAGTTCTCCTCATTTTTCAGTTCGTCATCTGGCACTACTTACGGAATGAAATCATATAGCAAGGAACAAAATAAAAGGAATTGATTACCATTTTCAAGCCCGCAATGAAATCAGCAGGACATCCGACTACAAATTAAAATAGTAAGAAAAATGTTAGTCATCAATGTGTTGAATAATAGATGAAAATGAATGTACTTAGGTGTCTTTGCAAACCAAGTTAGTAAGGGTATTTCGTGACTGAAATGAAAGTATCATTTCATTAGTGAAATCTATTTGTGGTATTACCTGAATATTGTTTTCAATAAATGTCAGTATCGACTGAGCAAGCATAAAGTGATGGACAATCGAGATCCTATTCAGGAACATCTACGCGTAATCTTCATCTCAAGGATAGAACTCAAGATATTCAGATCACATGAGAATTGCTTCAGCCTCAAAGTCATCAAGTTTGACTCTGTTAACTATTATTAAATCAATAAGTCTTGGGCACTGTGGTAGAATATAATTTCATTTTAGTTGATTTATTAGATATATTACACAATGAAACTGTATTATTTACTGGATTATGTTTCGGATGTAATTTATTGTCTTCAGTCATAAAACTAGGGACAAGAAATCGTACGATACACCGAATAAATCAACCGCAATATTACAATAATCTAAATTGTGATACAACAACACAACTTGTTCTCATGTGTTATATTTGTTCACAACTACGAAGGACAGCAACAAACATATGAATGATTATGAAAAATACCCAGACACTTGAATGGAAGCGTTTAAGCATTCCGTCTTCAACTAACGGTCCACGGAATAAAATATTTCTCCACCTATCGAGGTTAAGACAGTTACACAATATTATTTGTTCGAATCCAGGTGTTTGTCAAACGCTGTACAGAGTTGCAATGATGATTCATATTAGAATATTTTTCTTAGGTGAGTGTGCTAGAATCTGGGCTACACCAATCCCATAGTGGACTGATATAAATTCCCAGCTGCTTGAATCACAATACATTGAAAAAATTCCGAGTTCTCAGTCAACGAAACCAAAATGTATACACTACTGAGTCACAAACATCCAATAAATGACCTCAGACATGGTTATTTGAACCTGATGTAGAAAAACCACCACTCTGACTCTTAAGGTGTTCAAAGCAACTGCAGAAGCCCAGTGTAAGTCACCAAATAGATGAAATAATGAACGACTAAACAGGGTTTTTAGGTACAGTCTGAACGAATAATATTCTTTTCAATAAATCCTCATCAGGTTCTAGTTATAAAATGCCAAGTTAGGGGCAAATACATTTTCAAAGTGAAGTGACTGTAAAGAAATCGATTTTTTCTTCTCTATACTTAATAATATTAGGATGACAAATGACTTTAAAGACCATCCCATCAGAACTGCTGAAATAACTAATCACACTCCTTTATTTTATGACAGTCTGCCTTTCCAGTCGAAATAAACAAACCTCATCGGCTATTCTAGTCGTTGCTATGGTGGCCTTTAAAGTCACTCTAGGATGATATATGTACTAATAAATAATGTGATGGTAAACGAGAAGACAGCAACTGAAGAAATGAATAGCCTTTAGCTTACTGAAGGCCAAAGCAGGAATAACGTTTGGACATGTTCTCTCTGAATTCACAGTCCAAGTTTGGTCAATCTCATTGTAACTGCCTCAGACATGTTGACCAGGTGCTGGCGACCTACAAGTATTGTTTTTGGAATATGATGAATGACGTTGAAAGTTGTATTAGCGTCCATGTGATGCCCTGTGTCAACTAGGTGAGCTATAATAGAACTTTCCACCACTTTCCCCTAAAATTTTAAAAACCAAGTCGGTACATGCTTTTGCGTCCGGAGACGCACCTGCTGAACTGTACACCCTATATAACTTGTTCCAAGGAACAGTTAAATTGATATATAGATGAAGAGCTAAGAGTAAGTAGACAATCCTATAGTCTCAGACAAAACATTGGTTGACTACTGAAAGATATGCTAAGACGACCTGAATAAAACATTCTACTTACTGCCTAGATAGACGTTGTGATAGAATGTCACTTGGAGAGTCTCCCTTGAATTGTAATGGTAGAAACAAAAGCCTCTTTTCTATTGTCATCAATTCTCATTTGGAATTACTGTAAGTGATGTTTGCTTTGATAAACTTTACAGGATATCCATTTCAACTTAGAATACCAAGGATAAACAGTAGTTATTTTTTCATATTCTCCTTGGAACAAATCGATCTTACACTATTCATTATTTCAGTAGTTGCATTTCCTAATGAATGTAAAACAAAACAAACGATCTTACTCTAAATGCTAGACACCTGATTGTATTGCATTTGTACTTTATCGGCACGAAGCTAAGAAAGCATGTATATTGTGCGTTAGTCGTCGATTTCTTATATATACTTCTCAGTATAAAGTCATCTTTTTTCGTATCATTAACACATCAAGAAAATGTACCGAATAATTGGTTTCACATTCATAAGTAAAATGAACTGATGGATGAAGGGTGTTGCAGTCATTCAGAATCGAGTCACTGCATAGGCATTCATCAAAGACTAAAAACGTATCATTCATATATCGGCAGTAGAACTCTATATTAGCAACTTGATCTTTTAAATGACTATTTTTCCAGAAATACATCTGCAAATACAGAGCCTAATGGAGATTCAGTAGCCAATCTGTTAATTCAACTGTACAAATTATCATAGAAAACGAACTAGATATCTGTTGTACACTTTAACAATAGCTTCTTAAGATTCATAATAGAAGTGTCAGTGTCTAACGGACAGAACCAACATAAGATCAGGTATTACTGTCCAGCAATTCAAGTTGCCACACCTCATATCACCACATTAAGCGAAAAAAGTATTATCATAGAGAGGAAAGCAGTCAGAAGTGGTCGACAGTTGTGATAAAATAACAAGGAAGAATGAGACAATGCTGAATTTCAGTATGTCGATGAAGATAACAATGTGAGGATACAGCTGTCACTGATAACAATTCTGAGTCATGTTATCTAGAGTCTCCAACCGATAGTTATTGTTGTCATTCAGAGCCTATTCGGAAAATCTACATTTACTTACATGCCTCAGGTTAACAGTTGAAAACTTCCTCTCTAATAACTGTTCATAAATGTAATCCACGGTTTCAATTAAAACGACGTTAGTAAACAAACATGAGACATCAAGGGATCTCATGTATTTGTATTTCATGTTGTCAATAAACTGGGAAGTGTCTTACATGCTAGGATTTTGCCAACTCATCAAGCAAAAGTTGCAGTAATCGTACTAGCCACATGACGATCACGTGTAAGGTGAGTTAGTTACATCTGTGTGACAACTTGAACCGATGCACATTGTTTTTGTCTGTCTGAGCGAGAAGTGACTTCGGGTTTGTGCATTTTTGGGTAGGTCATACATCTATGGGATAGTGCTGCCTAGAGGTTTTGGATTTTCAAATAAGGTGGACAAAATGTATCTGACATTTTTTCGTTTCTCTTTAGTGAGATGATTAGATCCTTTTCTGTTTTATCGGTTGTCTTTCGTGACTGTATTTTCAGAAATTTGCTTTCGTTTTGCACTACTTAATCTATTTGCTGTAAATAATCAACTATCTATAATTACGACTCAGCTTCTTTATTAGATCTAATAATTTTAATAATAATTCACTTTATTCCAAACAATTTGTGGTACAATTTGAAATTCTCAGCGTAATGATGACGATATTCCGGACTTTTGTGAGTCTTTACAGAGTCTCACAATGCTGTCCGGTCAATATGCCTATTGATTTAAATATTTCCAACCCAGCACTACATGACCCAACTCAATCAGCCATTTGTGTAAAGTTGCTAAAACTATACATTCGTACAGATTAGATTAACTTGCTTGCAAGTGTCGCAAAACTTAATTACCTGAAGTCACAATCACCGAATAGGCTTTTAGCCCTCATATATAGCATTTCTAATCATTAAACGCTCCGATATACAATATAATTAGCAACGTACATAATTCCTCTTCCGTAAACTCCAACAAAGTATTCTCTTCATTCAAAGCGCGACTGAAATCAATACATAACTGATTTTCTTCCTTATTCAACGCTTCTATCACTTTCCTGCTTTCATCATCTAGATGAAGACCTAAAATTTATATGAATTATTTAAGATAAATTTTAAAAAACAGCGAAACAAACCATTTCTGCGTCCCAGTTGAACTTTCCTATCTACATAACGACGATATTCATCAGAGAATGATGAATCCATTTTGGCTTGAACTGCAACAAACTTTTCAAATATATCTTTTCGCATCCTAAAAGTTGGCATAAAACAGTAAAAATTGGATAACAGTTGAAAAATACAGAATAATGACTGTGACAGGCAAAGTACATAGAAAGCATAATTTCAGTACCAATAGAAACTGATATTTACTGGGGAGATCAATTACTCTGAACTCAAAAGACTAAAACATGGCACCAATGCATGAAGTCTCTGACTGTTGGTTTGAGCCATGTGGGGCAATGCAGGCTAGCCAGTTGGGGTCCGCGCGACAAGAGAAACCAGTGGTTGGGGACTCTAGGTAATATGGCTCAGAACCGATGTCAGTGGTGCGGATGTATACACACATTATTCTCATCTTAACGACGCTATACCGAATCTCATCATGTCCTCACTCTTCCTTCCTCTCTTTTTGCACTTCAGATTTCTTTGACTAAATTTTCTTATCTTCATCTTCTCCTTCACTGCCTTTTTACTTGGTGTACTGATATGAGCTGTGGCAACTCGGACCTTTAGGCAGTAATGCCTGGTCTTAGGTCGATTTGGATGGATGGATTGAAATTCAAAAACAAGCTCCTTTAAACAATAGGTAGCAGATTATCCCGAGCAAACGGTTAAAAACAACACAATTTTAAGGCTTTACTTGCATGAATGTTAAGGCGTGCTAGATATATTTCAGACGTGAATTATCAGTCACAACTTTCCATATAAGTCCATAAAAACTCACACTAAATCTCAATTAATACATCGAGCGAGCTTCCCAAACCTTTACTTATTAATGCTCGCAGACGTTTTGATTGTTGTTCCATATTTCGTTTGGTAATAGGTTCGCTGAATTTGAAATTTCAGAGACTGATGCAAATAAACATTAAAAGAGTGCGAAACTTGGGTAGATCCACTGTCTACTGAGAAATATCATCTTTATCGGATTGTAACAGTAAGTAATAGTCAGCGGACATGCTCACATCACTATTGCAGAAGGTTTAGAAGGAAAGGTACACGCATATTGGAAGAAGGGCTACCGTGTCAAACTCCCAAAGAAGGATGACCTAAGTCTGGCGTGGAATCATGTTCCTGTCCAACCCAAGCAAAATATTGAACTGCATAATCCTGGAGATTTGAAGATGCGCTGGATTCAAAATTATGTCTGAAACAGGGTGGCTTCAAAAAACATCATGTATGGATCAAATTTCAACACCAAGCTATGCATCATCATAGAAAAGAGTATAGAGTGGCAGTCAACTCTCTACCTCAACTTCATCAACTCTGAAAAGACCTTCGACAGGGTTGACAAAGAAGTAATTTGGCAACACTACGGTTTTAGTGCTACAAAACTTAATCAACCTCATTCAACAGCAGCTACATGCTATATGAAGACGCCACATGCCAAGTGATTCACAATCGAAGGCTCAGTGACGCCTTTGAAGTGAAGACAAGAGTAAGACAGGGCTACCGCATGCTATCAACCATCATCTACCTGATTGTGGTCGACTGAATCATGCAACAAACTGTGAGGAGCGAGAAGATGGGCATACGCTGTTTGACCGGTAAAAAGACCTTGAAGGTTTAGGTTTAGCCGACAATGATTTATGTCTAATGTCTGGTGTCGCACAAACTCGAAGATCTACAGGCAAAAACCAACAAGTTGACAGAAGAGGTGAGGCAGCGAAAACGGGACATCAAGTGAATTCAGAGAAGACAGAGGTGATGAAGATACCCAACTAACGACAGCATCAACAACTAGAGCCAATCACCATTAACTGGAGTAACCTAAACGAAGTAGTCTCCTTCACCTACCTAGGCAACATCGTTTCAACTACAGGTGGCACAGACGAGGATGTCAAAACCAGGATCGAAAAAGCAAGACAGGCTTTCATTAACCTGAAACCAGTGTGGAGATATACTGCACTCAGCAAAAGAACAAGATGCAGATTTTCAACACGAACGTCAAGTCAGTGCTTCTATACGGTTCAGAAACTCGGCGCGTTACGAAAAGCCTACGCTCGTTGTTGAAGATCAGATGGCCAGAAAGAATAAGCGACAAGGAACTCTGGCCTGGTAGCGAACCAATCAAGAACCTATCGCCAAACAAATATGCACTGTAATAAAGTGGAGATGGATTGGGCATACACTGAGAAAGCCATTCGGAGACATCACGTGCCAGGTCAGACCCTCGAGTGGAATCGAAAGGGGAAACGACGAGTTGGGCGTCCTAGCCGAGGGTGACATGGAAGAGATCATGTGAGGAAGAAATGATTATGAGGTTTGCGTTATGCATTTAACACCAACAGGAAAAACCCAAAGGAAGTTGTCTTTTTCACCTACCTACCTACCTGGGCAACATCGTTTCAACTACAGATTGCAGCACAGGCACAGATAAAGACATCAAAGCCACGATCAGAAAGACAGCAAGACAGGCAGACCTTCTTTCATTAATCTGAAATAAACAGTGTAGAGATCTACTCCACTCCACTCAACTCAACTCAGCATAAAGTGTGAACAATATCCGGATTTTCAACACTAATGTCAGTCAGTGCTTCTATGTGATGGTTCACAGACTTGGCGCGTTACGAAAAGCATTTCCAACAAGCTACAGACATACATCATCAACAGCTTTCGCCTACGCTCACTCGATAGTGAAGATCAGATGGTGAGAATAATAAGAATAAGCAACAAAGAACTGGCTGGCTGGCAACGAACAAACCAACAACCTATCGCCCATCAAATATGCAGAAGACAAAAGTTGAGGTAAGGCAAGTGTCAGCTGCCAGTAAGTATGCCTTTGTTCCAGGACCTGTCGAAGGGTAAATCTACGAACAATGCACCCTCGTCTAGCTCTACCTGAAACCAACCTGATTTTCTCAAGTTTGCTGTTCTCAAGCTCAAGTTAGGCGTCAGATAACTATAGACCAAGGGATCTTGAACTCAATATTATTCAAACTAATTCTCTTATAGACTGACACGGCCAGTAAAGTAGACCAGTCTGATGGAACTACCTGTGATTCCCATACACTACCTAGTACCTTAGTCAGTAACTTCCCACATCACCTTTGGAAATTTCGGGTAGAAAACTGTCGGATCCGGCTGCTTCGCATCGTTTCTGGTTCGATGCAACCTTCTCAACTTCAAGGAGAGTTGCAAGGCTGACATCACCGTCCCATTCAGATTCGAGCTGGCTGGATGTTAGGCATAGGAAATATGCGTTCAAACAATGATCTGTCTAACTGGTATCGTTAGTATAAGCTTTCCACCACTCAGATCGTCGATTAAAGCGACTAGAATTCTATTTGAAGTAACATAATTTGCTTTGACTATTTGCTCAGAGTTACTAGTCTATTCAGAATATAAAGTTCACAAGTTTAAACTCAATTCACTGAAGAGTTTTACTGTCTCAGTGGAAGAAAATGCGCCGAAGAGTAAAGCAAACTGGCGCTGTTTTAACAACTGGAGAAAGGTTACACAGATAAAAGAAAATCTTGGCGGTCTTATCAACCACTGGGGTATAATGATCTCTATATTTAGGCAGGTAAACTGATAAACTGTAAAACCCATCTTTAAATATACTTACTCCAACTCCACTTCCATATCAGCGAGTTTACGAGTAGCATTACAACTGGCATCTCTCATTGATAACGAAGGATATGTGTGTTGTGGAAAGTCAAGGGAATTCCTTTCTGTTTGATATACGGCTTCAAATAATGACATAGGCTGCGAATGATTCATTATTATGAAAATTTGAGAGTACCAAACAACTGACTCAAAAGAGACAGACTCAGATTGTGCCACTTTATCATACAATGAGCGGGCATAACTGATAAGAGCTGAGGTTCTGGACACAATGTCCTCCACACTAACTGCCCATCGTAAACGACATCCAGCGACAAGTGACATATTTCAAACGAGTGCCAGTCACCGGACGTGATTGTAATTTCCTATTACGCGCGGGTGAGATTAGTGTTAATTGTCGTTTTCTGATTGGTCAGTTAGATATAGACCTTAATAAAGAAAAGGCTGTATTTTCTAATTTTGGAAACATCGAGATTCGTTCTTGCGCTGAACAGACTGTAGTGCACCTTCCTGGCACCAAAATATAACTAGGGCTAAGATAAATAGTTTAAATTCAATTAACTAAATAAATCTCTAGCTTGCCTCGGAATGCTTAGGGTGTTTTAAGTTCTGTCTTAACGGGCATGCATCCGAGCAGGCTTGGACGCCATTTTGCGCTCCATTGTGCTGGTTACCACGCACGTACTCCGAGTTCCTAGTTCAGCCTTACAAGCCAGATACGTTGATTGAACTTTTCCCCCATCATTATTATTACATTCACTTTAATTAAATACATAGCTCCTTACTGGCGCGCTCCTTGAATAGTGACGTGTTTCGCTCGTCTCTCAGCTTTTGGATTTTTCCACAATGAAAAACTCCCACTTGCAATACTCAATCTAAAAACATCGAACGTTTGCAGCACTTCTGTCCGTCCACGCACCTCACCCCTGCGCATTCGTCAGCTCACTCCTCAACAGTTGAAAATTGGCATTATTATTCCTTTGAACCAACCGGTCTACCTCCTGTCAGTGGTTCTTGGGCGTTTCAACTGCCAAACTGCCTTAGCTCTCGGTTCTCCTCGGAGGTCATTCCCCAGGAAATATCTTTCCTGGTTATACATACGCATCTGGAGCTTACGGTTAAACTCGTTGGTCAAGAGCAGAGGATCAAGTGACAAGTGTCTGAAGGTGAGCCAACATAAATTATCTTCCCTTTTCTATTCTGTCCTTTTGCTGCATTCAGTCTTCAACCCTCTTATTGTTGTTAACTACTTGTTTTCCCAAGAAGTTTATATCATAGCGACATGTCTGCCCAAAACGCTAGGTCTGAAGCTTTGACACGGATAACGCGGTCGTGCACAAAACGGCCAGTAACACCCTAAACAACACACTAGTCTGTACTAGAAGACAAACAGAGGTAGGGCAGAACACCGAACTTCTAAGAAGTGGCCAACCCATGTTTCTAGAATTCCAGTCGCCATCAGACAGGTGACACAGAGTAGCACTAGCCCGTCACAAACTAGTCCTATCTTGAGCAAGGATCATACCATGCCTGAAATAGAAGACGACGTAAAAGGCTTCAGAACAAGGCAGCCACAAGCAGTTCGCCACAATCCGTAGCACCTTATTCATGGAAGGAAGGCTGTATTACGACACCCGATGGCTGCAGTGTTTGCACCAAAGTTGTTTCGGTAGTCGATGAGGCATTTGCATGCAACCTGTGTCAACGATGGGCGCATTGCCACTGCGATACCAAAGTCCCCCGACAATACTATAAGCTGATGAAGAGACAACCATGCAAGTGGTTCTGGTACATCTGTCCAGAGTGCAGGAAAATGCCCGCACTCCGCACAGAAAGCCTGAAGGAGATGCTCTCCGCCACGCAAAAGCTACCAGCATCCTCGAATAAAGTAGGGTTAACACCAAAGGATAACACAGAGAGACCTGGAAACAGACCTAGAGCTCCAGCTGTGGGCACGCCACCTCGCGTGGGGACCATATTAGGTCAAGTCTCCATACCCCCTACCCGGCCCCAGGGGACGTCAAGCGCATGGCCAAAGACATCGACCGCCGAAGCCTCTACGAAACCCATTCCGAACACCCCACACACCGTGACTGAGAAACAACCAGTGGAATTACTCAAACCCATTGGGAAGTCGGGCGTGCCACCCACAACGAACCCAGGTCACAGGAGGACCAACTCGATCATTTTGTTCAACGTCGATGTATCGACAGACTCATTGTTGGTCGAGAGGGAACAATTTGACAGCCGAATGTGGACCGACTACTGTCAGATGCTGGGACTCCCTCCCCTCCCTGCAACTTTGTGTCGCCTTTCTCGAGGAAGCCATGCACCCCGAGATAAGCCACCCCCTTTACGTGTGTCCCTAAATACCGCCAAAGAGGCTGAAGACACACTCCTCCTCTCGCGACAACCGGACGTTGTTAATGCCTGTAAAATTCGGGCCAGGCCTGACAAGCCATGGTCAATAAGAGAGGAGGAGAGAAAGTCAGCGGTTGGAAATCCCAACAGAAACAACACTATAGTTGTACATGGGATTCCAGAATTGCCAAGTGACAGCTCGGTCAAAGATCGGTACTTTCACGACGTCCAACAATGGCAATGGCTCTCAACCAAAGTTGGTCTCAACAGTATACCGGCCAACAGCGTCAGTAGACTGCCAAGGCCAGCGCACCTGAAGACCATACCCAATCCCAGACTACTTGCCGTCCAGTTCGACTCATATGCCTCCCTCACAGACGTTCTGCACGCATGGTATAATGCGAAAGATCGCATGGGTGGCTCAATACGTATATGTGAAAGTAAGCCTAGACCCACAAGGCAAGAGGAGAGACGGCAACCACCAAGACCTCTGGAGTCAGTGGTCGTCACACAGGCGCTGACCAGTGAGTTAGATACATCAAGTAAAGAAGCCACCACTGCTACAGCCCCCACCCAAGTTAAGAACAAAACACAAAAAACGGAACAATGCCAGTCCTATGAGGACTGGCGAGGCTAAATTCAACCACGTAAGCGCTCATCCCTCGAAAATACACATCCAGACCTCCCCTCTCATCAGGTACACTCTAATATGTATGTACAGCAACGTTAGGGGGCTAATAGGGAAGGTAGCAAAATGAGGACGCTGCGTGAACATCAGCACTCCGACATCATATTCATCACCGAATCCTGGCTCTCATCGGACATCTCCGACGAAGAGATGCGTGTTGCTGGCATGGAACTCTTCCGCAGGGACAGGGAACATAGAGCAGGAGGGGGAGTGGCTATCTACGTAAACTCCTGTTTAAAGGCAAGGATGGTTAGCGATACGGCCTTAACCCAGCTCCCAGAGTCTCTATGGTGCTACTTCACTCTCTTCTTTATTCTCTCTTCATTCCTTTACCACTACCTTACTATTCTCTTTCAGGTACCTACACAGACAGGAGTCATGGCAGTTCTCTAAACTTCCCAGCAACCCGTAGCTCCCTAATCACTCTACAAATTACAACCTACTAACCCACAAAACATCCACCTCACCGAAGCTAAAAGCAAGAAAGCAGAGGGGATTTCCTCGTCCACTGCAGGAGTAAACCGAACAACTGGAACCAAGCCCTAAGAACTAGACGCGAGAGATCAAAAACTACCAGTTTTCTACGCTCGCACTATCAATATTGGATATAAGAAATGCATTGCGTATCAGTTCTTTTGATTTGTGTTTTATTATCAGTACTTACATGTTAGGTAAAGTACTGGTTAAGCAGGTACTAGAGCACATCAAGTTAAGTAGGGTTGATCAATGTTACGGAATCGTAACACGCACCCCTAAATGGTTATCATGGATGGCCCCTATTTCAGCTTTCCTGTGATGTATAGCTTAACTCACCGAGAGCGTCTGATGGACGTGGAGAATGTGTTGAGGTCCTTTAAGACCATCATGGTTGAAACATCACGAACCACGACGTTTGTTGTCGACAATAGTGCAGCGGAACAGGGAGCTATTCGCGGTTAGTTCCCGTGCTGTTCCATTGCCTTATGTGCCTTTCATGTTATACGTTGGTCTAATAATGAGGTAACTCGTGTACCAAAAATGAGAACCTTTCAGTTTCGTAATCAAAAATGTTCCGGGAAATGGTGTATACTCTTGACCCTAACAGGTATCGTCACTGATATATAATAATTCCTTAGATTTAGTGAATTAAATCCAGCTATGAGAACAGAACATCGGCAGCATTTGCCTACGTGGAAGCAAATCTGTGGGCCAGTAGGTATATGTAGGCTTCATGCCTCATGCAGGAAATTGTTACCCTAGGTAACAAAACGAACAGCAGAGTCGAGTGCTGCCATTTGCACTTGAAGAAACATTTACGTTAATGTTTTCCTCTGGATTTAAGCATTCGCGAGATTCGGAAATGTTCCATGGAACTATATCGCATTAAGGCTGATGACGGAAATCACAGTTTGCACTACCACATGCATTTTGATGTAAGTCCTTTGTTCTTATCTCTGTAATTACAGATGGACCACATAACCTCTGCCATGCTGCTTTCTCCGACGAACTGCGCAGTTTATTATGTGTACAAAAGTATCCCGGTGCATAGAGATATGCAGGTAGTTGAATCTACGTAGTCTTTCAAGAAGGGCAAAAGCACCACGTGGTTGACAAATATGACTGTAAATGCTCCTGCTGCAACAGCACTGCGATGCTTATGCCCTGCCATCATTTGATTCATGAGTACAGATCCCTGTCTCTTGACTTTTGAGACGTTACTTAACTTCTTGCAGACGTACTTCGTCACTCTACTACTTGGTTACGAAGCTATAACCACATGCATATTGAACGTAACCAGGTTACTGTGGACACTGGAGAACTGCGAATGCCCACTTCCGCAATGATGTATGGAATGCAGTTACTGCCTCAGTCAAACCCGGATACATGACACAGCCTGCCGCTAGATACGTACACTAGAGCTCATGAGGAGCGCCACCTACAGGACTAATCTTCAGTAAACTCGTAGACTGTTGAATACATACTAACTACCTACGTGCATATTGTTCCACTCCTTAAATAAATTTTTCACGTAGAAAGTAGAACCATTTACAGCGATGGCGTTTGAAACGGGAAGATTTGTGTTACTGTATCATGACAAATGGGTATAGGCATTCAAATCACAACCAGTGCGTTATGCTTCCCAGGTACATCAACGGAAGTCAGATCAGTCAGTTAGCATAGCTGACCTTCACACAGAAGTTGTCGTTTCTTAGCTATGTTAATACTTCACGTCAGAGGTCGTCACCTCGTGAAAACTACCTACCGCATGGAAGACATTAGCGTCCATCTGGCTTGTGCGGCATCTGTCCCTACATACCATGGTATTTCCCTATTCGGCCTGGTAACAATTAAACAAGCACTTGCAGATCTAGAAATTAATTCCCATAAAAGCAACATTCTTTGCAGATACATGCAAGAAAAAATATATGTATACACAGATATAAATAAGCAGGGCTAAAGT